AAAGATAATAAATACTTTTGGGTGATATTAACAGTGGGAGCGTCATCCATGTAATAATTATATATATACATATATCAGGGTGTTCAAAAAATACCATTTAATATTAACCCTTTCGGTACTACTGCCGCCCGTTGGCGGCATCCACTAAACATTCTCTGAGTCCTACCGTCGCCCATTGGCGGCATCCACTAAACATTCTCTGGGTCCTACCGTCGCCAATTGGCGGCATCCACTAAACATTTTCTGGATCCTACCGTCGCCAATTGGCGGCATCCTCAGAAAGTTATGTGGGTGCTACCACTGCCGCCTAGTGGCACCCACGTAAATTATGTGGGTATGATTACTCTCTATAGTACGCATTACTTTACTATTCTGTGTTTAAAATTCCCGGCTTTTCTGAATGAAAAGTTTAGTGTCAATCACGCACGAAATTTCTATGAATGCTGCAAAACACGTTTTCGCGGCTTACGCCGCCGTAGAGTACAACCCCTCTCGTGGAAAACTTCCTCGTCCCACGAATGTATAAGCGCGGCCAGCCCCTCCGTACCGAAAGGGTTAATACAGCATATAGAACATACTATACTGATTGTGAGTAAAAAAATCTTACAATTACTTTAGGTTGGAAATTCAATTATTTCTAATTATACATACCATACACAATGTAGGTGTGTAGGTATACATACCATACACGTTATGGTAGTATTACGATTCACTTACTATTAGTTTTTTCTATTTACAGAAGGTGTTTACATGCCCTTTTTTCATATCCATACAGGCTTGAAATATTTTTCTTATGAAGTCGCGAACTCTCTCGAAAATTTCACATCTTCGTCGGACAATGAAACAAATATTATACTATAGATTCGATTTTGTAATTATTTTAAGTCATTTATCGGCGAATAATATACTATACTGATCAAATACTCCTATAAAAAGAAATTCACAAGGTTGCAATCAGAGAATCAAGAAGGTTATACAACTGGTTCATCATATTCAATCTATCTTTAACTGAAAGCAATTTTTAAATTCTTCAAGAAGCCAGTAAGTCAATTATGATACTAACATACCAAAATGCTGATACGTTAGAAATGATTGATCTTTCGACCTAATTTATTCAGACGTTTTTATTAAATATATTTAGTATATTTTATGCACTGTATAAATATTTAATAGATTTTATTGAAAACCCTATATATATAATGACCATTATAAAAAAAATTCATTTAAAATTAAGTGGACTTAACTTTTTCACGATTGGCTGACCTTTGCCTACATTCTTACGTTAACTTGTTTTTACTTTACATGAATATACAATCCTAAATACAAGAATAATTTGTTATTCGAAATAGAATGAACCTTTTCATAAAAAGACCATTAAGTTAAATTTAAATAAGACAAATTTGTAAAACACTTTTGCTCTATATCGAGAAGGATGTAAGAGTAATGAAATGATACTATTGGCTGTAAATTAAGATATATTAACATGATCAATTCTCTGGTCAGTTAATCACAAATATGTATAAAAAAAGAAAAACAAAAAACACATATAAACCTAAAGACACATTCCTGTTTATTGTGAATTTTTAGATATTAATATGTAAATCTACAAATAAAAATAGACATATTTAAAGTCCGACGTAAGTGCTCGTTTGAAATTATGCGAGTCACTATCAATAACAAAGAAAAGAAAAAAAAAGGATAAATAACAGTCGATTATTTTAATCTTTCGCATTTATTTTTAATTAACATACAATATTATGTGAGCCGCTTATTTTAAAAGTGGCCTAACTTCATTTATGCTTGAATCGAGATATTGAAGGATTTGCGCATCATTGCAATTAAAAATATACGTACAAGATATTAACGAGTCATACTATTTAAGTGTATCTAAGGGTGTGAAATTTATAGTTCCTATTAAAATAGTGGCAATTATTAAGTGAAAAATATGCATTTCTTTATCACGAATGAAATTAAGCCACTTTTAAAATTAACAATTTGATTTGTTATAAAATTTCGAAAGGACCAAATTCCATTCAATATAATTTAAGATGTTTCAAAGTGAAAAAGACAATACTCAATTCCTGTTTTCAATTTCATGTTTTGACTGGGTTATGTTTTATTCTGTTAGGAATAGTAAATCACACTTTTTGCCGCACTTTCTCACAATGTTCTCACAAAGATTCGCTAACTTAAAAACTCGCTCACACTATCACTCTTTATTCTCATTAAAAACTCGCTCTCGTTATCACCTTCTTTCTATTTTCACTCTCACAAATCAAACTCGCAAACTCGCTCTGCTCTGCTCTGTCCAGTGATCCCAGAGACTTTAGTTCGTTTGATCGACACAGGAGCGCAAAATTATCGTACGCGGCAGAAAATTATCGTACGCCCCGGGAAAATTTGAAATCCGACAAATCTTGGACAAAATTTTTAAAAAGTCGAAAAAAGTGTCTAAGTTCCAACTTTTTCAAGTTGATGACCTTTTTTTTTAGGTAGAAAACGTTCTGTAATCGTTTAGTCTAATCGGCGGTTCGATAGCTGCAAGGGAAGATCTTCAAGTCGAGAAAAAAAATTTTGATGACTTTTTTCTTTTTTTTTTTACTTATCAAGTTCCCAAACCCTATCATAAAAACGATAAAAACGATCGTTCGCCGGGAGATCGTGGTGGTGGTGGGAGTGGTGGTGGGAGTGGTGGTGGGAGTGAGGGTTAGGGTGGGGGTGCACCTTTGCAAAAAACGCCACGATTTTTGGATCGCGATAATTATCGTACGAATGGGATCACTGGCTCTGTCTCTCCCTCGCAGTGATCCCAGGAACTTTTGCTTGTCTGATCGACACAGTGCCGTAAAATTATCGGGTTCTCAGTAAAATTATCGTACGCACAGAAAAAAAAGTTTTTGACTAGGTTAACAAAGATTTGATTTTCCGGATTTTCCAATTCTTTTTTTTTATGCAAAAGTGCAAAAAAAGTAAAAAAAGTATATTTTTCGATAGTTTTTTCGATTTTTTCGATCCTTTTTTCGACTATGCTAATGCTATATGCTATGATGCTGCTATGCGACTATGTATGTTATGACCATCTAAATCCGCATACCACGTAGTAGATATCAACTTTTCGATGCAACGATACATAAACAGCTGAGCGAGCGTTGCGCTGCAATCGAAACAAAAGCAAAATCGAGACATATCGAAAATTATATTTACATATCGAATTATCGTAAATTATCGTACAAGTTGGATTCTGCGTCATACAACAAGCTTATGCTTGCCTTCGCCACACACGTATACACATAACACAACACAACAGTAGCTCCACGACAAACAACGAATGGTTGCCTCTCGTTCCGTCATCCTTACGCTAGACGCACGCATCCTGACAAAGTAACCATTCCTTATCTCTTTCTTTCTTTCCCACACATACACACGCAAACATAACAGTCCTCACGCTTGGCGCACGCATTCTAATAAAGCAATCATTCTTTCTCTCTTTCTTTCACGCAAACACCCACAATATTTTTAAAATAAGTTATATTATTGTTTTTTTATTGAAAATATAATAGCAAATAAGGTTTTTTAGTTTGTATCACGCGAGTTCAGTTTCTTCTATTTAAAAACTTTTCTATTTTATTGAAAAATTAGTATAAATTTCCTAAATACGCAAACATTATAATTAAAAAACATGTCTTTGGACATTTATAAGAAAAATATTCTACAATGTTGTCTAATTTTTTTTCTCTGATGTATCTGATAATCATTTAATTTTTTTGTAAAATATTGCAGACAATAAAATTATTATATTCTATATATTTCATAATTGTTAATTATAATATTTGCGAAATAAATAATTTAATATTATTTTTCAATAAAATAGAAACATTTTTAAATAGAAAAGAAATGACACAAGAGGAGACCAAGAATAGGAAAAACTGTATAGCTATATTTCGTCTCATTCTCTGGCAGGCTCAATCCTATATGTTTGTCTCTTTCTCTCTCGTTATTTAGTATAGCAACCGTTTCATAGCTCCGTTTCCTGACCGAAGCATTTATCTACTTTTCCGATCATTCCCATTCTAAAGAAGTTTACACTTCAAAAAAAAAAAAAGTTCGAGGAAAAGACTCGTGAACCCAGCAGCATCGGACTTCGAGCTGGCTACTGGCGGTTGCTGAATAGGTGGCGTTCGGCTCGAGTCAAACTCGTAACAGTGTTTTTTTATTTAGAAAAAGTAGTTTTTTCACATGAAGAAGACCCCACTAGAGAAAAAGCCGAAACACGTGTCTAATTATTTTCGATTCTCTATCGCTTGAGTATAATTTCGTTCATTTTCTAGAGTTACAGATCACGACCTCCTCTAGTTAGTATCAAGGCCGTTTCATCGCCGCGCTGCATCGCCCCACTACATCGCCGCGTCACACATCACCGTGTTTCATTTTTTCAAATCACCCCCATTCCAAAGAAATTCTTACTTCAATAATAAATGACGAATTGAGTTAAGACACTTTCAAAATAAACTTTTCATCATTCTGTTGATTGGCAAATTTTTTTGTTACCAAATCTTCATGATTTTAAATATATGTGTAACAAGTTGCTTCACAATGAAAAGATCATGTAAAAATGTAACTATTACGGTACATAACTCGATTTTTTTGGAAAATGGAGTTAGGCCACTTTCGAAATAAGCGGCTCAAATATTGGAGATATATATTTAAAAAAAAAATGTATATCTATGTGATCCCTACCAGGTAAGTTTATCTCAGAATTTTATTATTTATGAAATACTATTTTTATTTCCTATTTACTGATTTAATAAAAAATCAAATAAATTATAGAGATATAGAAGACTACCATATAAAGCTCTTAATACTTTACACTTTAAATTCGCTTAATAAGAAATCATGTTGTTTCAAAATTTTTCTCATATAATAAAATTTATTTTTCTTGAAATAATTTACGAAAGCAATCACATATAGTATATATAATGTATGCACAAAGTATTCGTACATTAATTAATTTTAAACAAAACTTCATTAAACTTTTGTTTCCTCAAAATCTCTAGAATATGTATGATGCAAAAACATAAATTACTTGTACAATTAACAAAAAAGAAAGAAAAACTCGACGAAAATTAGAGGCAATAAGTACTTATAAAACTCCGATTTCAAATTTTTTACAAGAAAGATTATAGCGTGAATCGGTACGATTAGTAACATTATTGTCACAGCTTATAGTCAACTTTAAAAATTATCATTGAATAAAGGGATAAAAATGTGCAACAACTACGGTAAAAAAATTAAAGATTAATATTAATTTGCATAATTATTGTTGTGCGCACTGTATGTTATACTGAAGCGAGTCCGTTTCAAACCAACGTACAAATTTCAAGTTGAAATTATACGCGAGTTTTGTATGGAAATCTCACGACAGTAAAATAATACGGTGTGAGTGGCTTTGTAGTATTACTAAAGACAGTTCTTTAGTCAACAATGAATTTATTAATTAAGTCTTGGCGGCTATGTTACAATTGTTTGAATGCTTGGTGTGGACTGTATGAATGTATGATGAATGACAGAGAGTGTATAACAGACAGAATGTATAACAGACAGACGCTTCTTACTTTATTTCACATGTTTTATATCCAAATTAGTTACACCCCTTTGGAGAGGGAAGGAAATATATGAAACTTATTGGCCAATAGTAGGAGGGTCCACTCACCAAGGTCTCCCGATGGAAGAGCTTATGTTTTTGGTAAGGGTTATAGTGGGGGTTAAGCACAAGGAAGTTTCTTTATGAGTAATGTTCTTTCTCTCTGTTATCTCATGTTTACATAGGTATCGTATACCACTCGAAGGACCCGACACTGCATAAAGGTTTTCGTTGCACCAATATGTTTCGATGATCGTTGAGTTGGTTTGGGAATTTATGGTCCTTCAGAATTTTCTTAATCTTTAAGTAAACGATATCTTATACCTACTGCCTATCATATTCTATGATATTTTATTTCATAGGTTTATCGCAAATTATGAGAGCGCGAAACGCGGTGCAGCGCACCAGCTAAGAGGCTGCTCCAGTTTTCACCCCGTACATGACTCAGCCACTTCTGACGATTTACGTGAATGTTTATAGAGGTACAAAGAACGTATTGTTAGATGTCAGAAGTCAATTGAGAAGAATTCATACATTTACTTAACTTTTAATTTGAACTTTGACAAAATTTTACAAGAATTTTATTATCTTTATTAAAAACAGTTTAAAAAAAGTCAAGTATAATATAATTACAAATTCAGCAGGTTGTTCCGAATTGTTTGTACTATCGCGTCTGTGATCCAGGTTAATGATATCAGTATCTTCAATATTTTGATAAAAAATACCGACTGTATCATGCAACGTGTCTTTGTTGAAAAAAAAAACGGTCATAATTATCATATACAACTCCTGTACAACGTTTTGGAGCTATTCGGAAAAATATTGGATACACAACATGTAGTAGCAGTAACTTCTGTCTCAAGTTCTTCAATAATATTGTAACTACAGCAATGACTGTACTTATTTAGAAGATCAACGACTTTACGACTATTTGTTATACTTTTAAGTGTAATTCCTAAAGATGTTTTGATTTTTCCGTGGTGTATCGCATAAATTAAATCTTGGGAAAAAGAATCTACTTTACGCAAATTGGCACAGCTTTTCTTTGATCTTGAGTCAGTGCCACATAAGAGATGACGCATGAAATCCGTCAAATATTTTAGGATTTCGCATTCCCCTTCGATAATATCGGTGACTTTTAAATTACATGGAAGTGTTTTTTTTTTTTTAATAACCAAATTTTCTTTCTTAACGTCAAAGCAGCGCGAGATATCATTTCAGTATCATATAAATTTGAAAAAGTTTCATCAGTAATAACGCAGCCATCGGTAGGAGCAATTGACCTTTTTTTTCTCATGACAATGACTTGAATTATAACATTTAAATTCTCGAACATAAAATTTCTCCAGAATTTCATTGTAAAAATCTGTGATAAACTGTAATAAACAGCATTCTTTGTTTTCTATTATTTTTTCTCAACTAAGTCACAAATATCCGCGTACGCTAATCTATGAAATTTTTTTCTTTTCTCCATACTACTTTTAGGAGTTATTGGTTAGATAGCTTTAGAAAGATATTATTGAAAGTAGAATTGAAAATAACTAGTATCGTTAAACTAAAAAGTTGTTGCAAAGAATTTTTTTTTTGTTATGGAGTTCCCAGCAAAAAAAAATACAAGTAAAATGTATTGCTGTGTATTTGGTTGGACAAGCATAGCTTGTCGTGATGAAAAAATTAGGTTTTTTCAAATTCCACCTCGTAAAAAACAATTTGTTTATGAAATAAACAAATTTGGTGATAAACAAATAATTGGTAGATATATAGCTTGGGTACGAACGCTAAAAATTGGAAAAAGTATAACTCCCAGTATGAAAGTCTGTTCACTCCATTTTATTAAAGATGATTTTTTAGCTTCACGTGAGTATTTTCAACAATTAGTTGTTCTGGTTATTATAAATTGTTAAATCAATAAATTTACTCATGCTTATATTGTTTTTGTGTATTGTTATGGCTATTGATTCAACTCAAACTTATTTAAAAATAACAAGTATTCCTAGTCAAAATCTTCCTTTAGAATCATCCAAAGAATGTGCTTGCTTTATAGATCAATAGATTCTCGAGAAGAAAGAATACGTAGAAGATCAATTGAATTAGTAACAGTTAATGATATTGCAATACTGCCACAACATGTTTACAAATACCACTTAAACCAGCCTTGCACGAACTCATTCTAATTATTCGACCTGCCAGAGATCCTAATAGTACATACGTATAAGATACTTTCATTTCGGAGCAAACGATGAAAAATATAAAAATAAATAGGCAACAAATGAAGGATCAGATGTTTGGAAGAGCACATAAATACTGCGTGAGCAATTCAGGTACCTATAATATACGACAATGCGTTACGCAGCGCGGCGTGCTGGCTCAAGTAAAACGCACGCTCGGTATACCTTAAACTCAAGTAAACGTCTAAACGAAATTTGTACATCTCTACTTTTCTCATACAAAGCTTTCTTATTCAAATTTTTATTTTAATATATTCATATTTTCTTACACTTCAAAAGTATAAGAAAATAATTAATATGATTAATAATTTTTGCAAAATTTTGTCACAAATCTAATTAAAAGTTAAGTAAATGTATGAATTCTTCTCAATTGACTTCTGACATTTTAATAATACGTTCTTCGTACTGTTACGCGGAAATGTTCACGTGAAGTTAAATTCGCGTTGATTTCCGGATAACGTAAGAATTCGGCCTATTGAATTCTTGTGATTGTATTAAAAACAAGGATTTCCAAGTTTTGGAAAGAATAACTTTTATTTACAACAGATTTACGTTCGGATACAAAACGACTTACAAGCGTAACGGCCAAGATAGAAGAGAGTTTCGGATGTCGAAGGGGCCCCTTTTAAGGGAAATCGGAACAAGGAATGTTCTAGAAGAAGGGCGTTTTTCATAAGTTAAGGGATTCTTATTGGTGTTCTCACGGTGCAGTGGGGGATTGTTTAAAATTCCAAATTTATGTTCGGCGAGAAAAAGTAGAAACAGATGTTCCTTAAATTAGTATGCAGCGCAAGTGTGGGTTTTATCTACTAGCCCTAGCAGGTTTAGACAGGTTTTCCAAGGGATCAAGATAATACATCTAAGCAGATATGGTCCACGTCGGGCCTAACAGTACCTCTATAAACATTCAGGTAAATTGAACAAGAATTGTCATACTTGAAGTATTATATTTTTGATGTGGTTTTTATATTATAATGAAATACCGTGGATAAATATGTAATTTAGAGTTTACAGTTACGATCTGTTACTTACTCAGTTTTTTGTTTTTTATTAAAATGATTTTATTGATCATTTTATAACGATACCTATTTGGGGATTGTGGCTGATATCAAGTTTCTTTTACTTTCTCATAGGGTTTATTCATACGAGTTCAACCGTATTGCATAAGTAACTATAATAAGTTTATGGGAGGTATTGACAAACTGGACTGGAATGTTAACAAATACAGGATAAAAATTAACAGTTGACGGCAGATGACGAGCAATTATTTCCTTCAAAAGCCAGGTGCAGATTTACACAGTATATGCCTAATAAACCCAACAAATTTGGGATCAAATTCTGTTTTTTTTTTATCTTGCATCAAATGTTAGTAGCAAATATTTTTTGAATGGTTTTTCTTATTTGGGAAAAAATGAACATTATTGGGGAAGGATGAAAAACAACCATCATCAATGCTTCTAAATGAACACTTTGTTCTGAAACTTGTCGAGCCATATACAATCTGTGGAAGAAATATTATGACCGTTAAATTTTTCACTAGCATGTCAATATTAGCCAAACAAAATTATTGGCCAAAAAAACAATTCTAATTGGAACTATTAGAGGAAACAAAAGAGAACTACCAAAAGCAGCCAAACAAACGAAGGATAACATGCCTCGTTTTTCTACTCTGCTGTATAAATCAGAGAATTTTGTTCTTACATATGTAAAAGCAAACCAAATAAAAGAGTAGTTGTTCTAAGTTCTAAGCATAAATTTGTGAAAATTGATAAAAGTAATAAAAAAATGTTACCGAAATCTATTCAATTTTATAACAGCACAAAATTTAGATTGATATGGCGGATCAAATGGCCAGAAAACATACAGTAAAAGCTAGTTCTCGTAGATGGCCACTCCAAATATTTTTCAATATTTTAGATTTGGCTGCTATAAATGCTTGGATCCTTTACAAAGAAATGACAGGACTACAAATACAGCGAAAAGAGTTCTTGTTTCAATTAGCAGAACAGCTTCCCACTACATACAGAACTGCAACATCATCAAATGCAATCCATTCTAACAAACGCAAAATTTGTCAAATACGACTTTGCCATAAAAACAAAACAAATAATATATGTGAAAAATGTCAAAAGTATGTTTGCGAAAAATGTATACACAAGATTTCCACTTTTATTTGCATAAAATGTACGGATAATAATGCATAAATTATTTTTATTCCAAGTGAAATAAATTTTTGTTATTGTTAATATTTATTAATAACCCGTTCTATAACTGTAAATAATATACAAAAATATTAAAAATTAATTTTAAATAAATTTCTTTACACATTAGTTGTTCTTTCACAAAGCAGTCATTTTCACTTTCGAAAAATCGATTTTTTTGGTCTTATCTTATCGTTTAACATTTCAAGAATATGTCCTTAAAATTTTAATCCGATCTAAGCAATATTCTTGAAGTTATTGTCTTATTAATCTCCTGGCCTTTAACGCTATAACTCTAACAGCTATGGGCGTTCGGGATAGCAGTGCAGCTGTCGAACAGGTATACAGTTTATGCATTGCTATTGTCCTAACCCATTATCTAGTTTTAAAAATATTTTATTTAGTAAAGGCAGGTAACTAAAGCCATAAAGATATATTTTATATCTGTATGTATACTATACACTACAATATTTTAAAGCAAGAAATGAGCGTCAGTTTGTCGTTGTACGTTCGACCGTGCGCTTGTCATTTTAAAATTTTCTCAAAAAATTTTTTGTACAAAAATGCCGAGAGTAAGCAAAGTTTCGAGAGAAGACCGACAAAGTGGAAGGACTTATTTGTGTAGATCAAGAAAAGGTTTAATCCGAATAAAATAATTAAAGATGAGGTTACCACAAAAAGTGCTTCATCGAAGAAAATCAAGCTAAATACCAGTGCAAGTGTACCAGAAGACGTTGAAAAGAGGCTGAAGACATCGACAATGCCGCAGGAAGTCTGCTGTATGGAGCTGGAATCGATGATTCTGTGTAAGTTGGAAAAAAATTATTTTTCTTCACTTTTTTAGTTCATAAACTTTGAACACGTTTTTCTCAAAACTACTTTTTCAAAGTCTGTGTTCACTGCTATTTAAAAACTACTTGACCGATTCATTTCAAACTTTGTACACATTTTTTGCATATAAAATACCTTCCCCCAACGTTTATTTAAAATTTTTTTTTTTACATTAAAGTGTTTCCCACCCACATAATGGCGGAATTTTTCGTGGAAAATAACAATTCACACTTTAGATGGCCGCCAAAAATTTTTAAATAAAAATAGAAATTATCAGAGAACGTTGGGGGGAAGATTTGATTATAATTTGACTAATTTTTAATAGTTTTTCATTTTCAGATAATTTCCGGCCGTGTATAGTGAACACCGCAAATTGTTTTTTTCCCAAAACGTTCTGGGGGAAGCTCTGTTACCGGCTTATGCTTTAATATTTCTGCATGATAAAATTATACAACATTGTCAAAAGTATGCTCAATAATGTACAAAACGTTCGAATAAAATAGCTCAATCTATACTTGAGAAAAAAAATCACAAAAAAAGTGTTTTTGTTTTTACGCTGAAATCCTAACCCTTCCCATAATGAAAATAAAATATTTAAAAAATCAAGGGAACAACCATTTTTTCTGTTGATCCGGCAACATCAAGAAAACAAGACCGCACTGCTGTAACCCATTAAGCTATAAGCACAAGACATAACTATTTAGTTATTTTTATAAGAATTTTTGCGAAATTTCTATTCCACTTTTTAGCGCAAATTATTGAATATTAACAAATTTTAACGCTGCTATCATACATAGAGAGAGCTTTTGTGTTCTACCACAAGTGTGCAAAGTTCAAAAAATGTCTGAATTTCTCGCAATGTCCTCCTTTTAAAAAAAAATACTTGATAAATGAGAAAAATAGTGACGATTTAGTCCTTCGTAATAAGTTTATTTTGGGGCCCTAACAAGGGCCGTGAAAAATCGCTTAATAAATTAAGCTTTCTTTTCAGACTTTTTGGGTAGTAAAATACTTTGGATGTTAGGCAATACACCACCTTGAGCGATAGTCACACCAGATAATATTTTGTTTAATTCTTCGTCATGACGTATGGCAAGTTGAACATGCCTCGGTACTATTCTGGTTTTTTTATTATCACGTGCTGCATTTCCAGTCAGCTCTAACACTTCAGCGGCAAGATATTCTAATACTGCAGCTAGGTATACGGGTGCTCCAGCACCTACACGTTCAGCATAATTACCTTTTTTTAACAATCGATGGATACGACCTACCGGGAATTGTAAACCAGCTCGGTGAGATCGTGATTTCGAAGAAATCTTCCCTTTCGATTTACTACCACTAACGCGTCCAGACATAGCGTTGCTTTATAAAAGTTAAAATCGTTAAAAGGTAACCTTAGCGTACAGCGAACACCAGTTGAATGAGATCTCCAAGAGCTTGTTTTCTATATATACTGCGGCTCGTAGCGTTCGCTCGACCAATAGCGTTTCAGCGTTGCCCCTACTGTTTTCTGATTGGCGTAGCATCACTCTCTCTTATTATATATAAAGAACGCACGGTTGGTCTCACCATTCAGTGCGAAGTACTCTGTCTTACTGATACTTTCGATCACTAACGAAAAAAGAAGTTGTATCATCATGCCGCCTAAAGCTAGTGGTAAAGCTGTGAAGAAAGCTGGCAAAGCCCAGAAGAATATTAGTAAAACTGACAAGAAGAAGAAGCGTAAGAGGAAGGAAAGCTATGCAATCTATATTTACAAAGTTCTCAAACAAGTACATCCAGATACAGGTATTTCTAGTAAAGCTATGAGCATCATGAATAGTTTTGTCAACGACGTTTTTGAACGAATTGCTGCCGAAGCTTCAAGATTGGCTCACTACAATAAACGTTCAACAATTACTTCTCGGGAAATTCAAACTGCAGTACGTTTGTTGCTACCTGGCGAGCTTGCTAAACACGCAGTTAGTGAAGGTACTAAAGCTGTAACTAAATACACGAGCTCAAAGTAATTGACATCAATTAACCTTTAATCCGGCCCTTATTAGGGCCACCAAAAATTTAATACGTTAAATAAACTAAAGATATAACATAATATAAGCCAAACCTTTTAGGTTGTAACAAATAAGTTTACATATTGAGTCAGTAAAATTCAATTAATAGGTGACGTTTACATTGTGCAAAATAAATCATTTTTTATACTCTTCATGCTGAACTTTTCACGCAGCATTCTGTTGATTCATCTGTAATGCGTAAACTCAAACCAAGTAGAAACATTAACATTAAACTACTGAAAAAACCAAATTACTTTTACCAAAACAAGTTATAATTACTGGTCTTAAAGACATTGTCGCAAATGACTGCTAAAGCCGTCCGATTTTTGACGATATGTAGGCAAATGACGGTTACAATCGTTAATTTCATGGAAAAATTGTGACAAAATGTGATAATTTTTACTTTCAAATATATACGACTGACACTCAATTTCATATGGCAGTCATGAACAATTAAAAAAAATTGGTTTCTGAGCACGATTATCAAATTAAAAGTGTACGGCAATATGTTAAATATGTATCTAATAATAAGATATTTTTATATTTATTACTATCTTACTCTAAAGGATTTTAATGGTAAATAAAGTTAAATATAAATATAATTGTAATAATAACTATTCCTATACAATGATACTACCAAATATAAATAGAATATTTAGTAACAAAAATATAAAAGTAAACCTCTATTAAAATTAATAAATATTAAAATATAATAATATAACAATAATAAGTATAATAAGAATATAAATATAAATAAAAAGTATTGGGTGTACAACTTTACCTCCGTTGTTTTTCTATATTGCTTATAAAAAAAACGGCAGAGCCAAAGTTACAAAAAGTTATGATTCGTTACACTTTTTACAACGTAATTTTTCTTTAGAGTGCATTTTCCGCATAAATATTTTTTTGCAAATTTTACAATGGATAATAGTCTTATTATTGTTACAATACTCTGTGTCAGAGTGTCGCCAAAGGGGTGGTCCGCAAGAAAATTCCGCTGGTCCCCAGAAAAATGTGGAATATACTTACTCTCTCTGATCATGTTAAGTTATGTTTTAAGATGCATTGAAACACAACTCAATTCATAACAATACATAGCTTTCATAATTTGGTTACAATTAATAGTTTCATTTTATGTGTTCTTATCACAATTTTGTTTATAAATTATTTAACACTTAAAAATCTTATTAGTTGTCCGCTGGATTTAAATTATGAATTTACTGGTCCGTAAGGTCAAAAAATTTGACGACTGCTGCTTTATGTGACTCTTCGCAGAAAAAAGTTGAAATCTTTGAAGAACTTTCGACATCAATCTTTCTTGATTCCATTTCTGATTTAACATTTTCAAATAACAAATTCATTTGCTAGTTGAAACATAGTCTTTTCTAGATATCTCCTAACCTAGTTTTTTTATATATAATATCTAGGCATTTATGTCAATTAAATCTAAAATGTAAGATATTTACAGTAGTCAGAGATCATGAAGAATCAAGAAGATTCTTAATCCTGACTTAACGCTATATTTCTTTTCCATTTGGTCTGTGATGTCTACGCTAAATTTAGTTTTATTATAAATTTCTAACGTTTTAGGTAAGCTCCTGTCAATTTTTTCAATTTTAATGTATTTATATTTTGAACTCAGTATAAAAACTTTTCGCTTCCGCTTTACTTTTGTAAATTATAAGAGTAATCTTATTTGATTTATAAAGCAATGATGAAAAACGAGCTATGATATTTTTTTTATTTTACAAATTGTTGATAATTCCTTTTTGGTGCTGCAAATAATGCAAAATCAGTGTGGTTCTTTGTTATAGTAATCTAGACGCTAGTTATAAACTTTAAAAAATTATCATTTTTTACAAATCTTCCTTTTATAGTATACGATCCGATAAGTTTGAGTACAACAAATCTTTTTTATTAGAGATTGTAACGTAATTCGTGTTTTATCTTTTCTTAGATAAGAAAACTCATTAAAAATACATTTCGTTTGAGTGTTGAACAGTAAATGTGAACTAAATGTGTTCAAACGAAATATCTTTTTAATGAGTCAGTTAAAGTTTCATAATTTATACAATTCACTATTTTCAATATTGGAACATTCGATTGGTATATTCTTCATTTTTTGTACCAGATCAAAAGTTTTCAATTTCTTTAACATTTTTAAAGCTTGAAAAATATCGTTATATAACAAGAAATCCTATTCTAACAACTATGGTTATGGAATGATCACGTGAAACGGCATCAATGACTTACATCACATATGTGTTTATGTGTATATCTATGTGTATCGCCAAATATAATGTGGCTTGAAATAAAATTTTATAACAAAAATTCGATAAATTTATCTAAAATATATCCAATTAACGATTTTGGATTCTGAAAACAGATTTAAGGGTACTTTTCCACTTTGAAAATTACTAATCAAAATGACTAGTTTTGATATAAATATCAAAAACAAAAATTTATTTAGATTCAATATTAATAAAACAAAAATAAAATTTATAATATTACATTTTCAGATACAGTTTGAAAAGTAATCACATCATTCTAAAATTTCTAATTTGTAATTTAAAAAACTTTATAACATCATGTGGAAATTTTAGAATGAAATTGTGAACCAGTCAGCTTGTAATATATACCAGATTAATTTCCTCCTCTCTATTATAGGCAATAAGGAGCATACGTGAGTTTATCCTCACCTAGCGTAGGCAACTTCTAGAGATTTTTCAAATATTTACAGTATGAGATATATGTATAAAAAATAAAAACAAATTAAATTAAAATAGGAATGAATTTTATGGACAATCTGGTAGATTTAACCTTTAACATAATTTTTTCAACATGAATTTTAACTACTAGTTTTAAACAAAAAAAAAATTTTTTACAGTTTACAATTTAATTTTTTACAGCTATATGGTTTTCCATAACGCACTCAACTTAGAATTTTTCAGATCTATCTCCTCGAGATAAGGTTGTAATTAAATTTCAATAACTTTTGTATTTTTTTCTTTAGACCTTTCAAAATCTTTCACTTCCTTGTATAAATTGGAAAATTTTCATTAAAGATTCTCCCCTACAAAAATAATATAATGTATTTAGGAAGATATTTCCCATTCATATTCTTCACTAATTCAAGTCATTTATTTGTACCTTTTTTTACGTTATTTGCAAGGAAACAGTGTTTAATTCTCCATAAGCTTTTTATAAATATCCCAGACACTCAAAAAATGCACAATAAAAAGAATGTCATTTTTCTCTACTATTAAATTCTTGAAAATACATTTTCAAAAAAATTCCGTAAGAGCTAATTTAAAGTAATTAAGTATGAAAATAACGCAGAATTACTTAAATAATACGTCTAGTTTAGAGCTTAATAAATTAATCTGACTACTAGCAGTAAACAAATTTATAATTTAAAAGTCAACGAATTGCGAAATTTTATCTAACTAAACATTATTTACTATGGGTAAATATATTAATTCTACCTTGTTGAAATTGCATCTACCAATGTAACTAAATTGAAAAGTGGTTTTATATTATATTTTTGAATCAGATTGAACCTCTTATTAATAATGTGTTGGCCCTGAAAAGGGCCGGTGGACTGAATTTCAGTATTATTTAAGCTCTTTCTCCTCGGATTCGTCGAGCCAATTGAATATCTTTGGGCATGATGGTAACACGTTTAGCATGAATAGCACAAAGATTAGTATCTTCGAATAAACCAACCAAGTAAGCTTCACTAGCTTCTTGAAGCGCCATCACTGCTGAACTTTGGAAACGAAGATCGGTTTTAAAATCTTGAGCAATTTCACGAACGAGTCGTTGAAACGGTAATTTCCTGATGAGTAGTTCAGTACTCTTTTGATAACGACGAATTTCACGAAGAGCAACAGTTCCAGGCCTGTAACGATGAGGCTTCTTAACTCCACCAGTAGCAGGAGCACTCTTACGTGCTGCCTTAGTAGCCAATTGCTTACGAGGAGCCTTTCCACCAGTCGACTTACGAGCTGTTTGCTTAGTACGTGCCATAGTTAGGATAGAACGATATCAACTTTAACGACGCACAACGAAGAGTATAATGCCGGTAGCTGGAATCACCTCCTTATATATACTGCGAGATCCTCATGCTGCTCCCTGATTGGACGATGACTCGATGGTGGGGGAAACTTACTGATGACCGTACAACTACGCGGGAAAAGTGTCGTAAGTAATATGACCAATACTAAATAAAATATTAACTGTAAATACTACAGTGGTGAAAAACATAAATTTTTAAATAAAAATTATTATATGTTTAATAAATTAAGTATATAAATAATTATTAAATTATAGGTATATAAATAGCAATATAATACTACTACTGTTAATACTAATATCTATTGTTAGCTTATGTTTATAACTTATTGGCTTATTTATATGTACATATTTTGTGTTCTTAATTACTCTACAGAAAATTATTAATATTTTTTATCATATATTAATTGAATTGTTAAATTGTTAATCACTAGTATTAAATATAAAAATAACTATATTAGAGAGAGTTTCTAAACAATCATTGAATTTATACAAGTTCAACAATTTACTACAAAATAATGTATAATAATAAGAGTATTTATTTCAAAAAACTAACTAAAATAAACTAATGTAAACTAAATCTTAAGTAATTATTATATCAAATACACAAGATAAGGACTTTATTTTACTGTTAAACAATTAGCAATAGAAAATACACTTCTTAATATGAATATATAGATGGAAGTACATAACTTATATATTTAAAAGTGCGGGAAAATATTAAAGTTCATAAACTTAGATTTCATTTGATAGCTTTTATAAACTGCTTTAATAACTGATTTAAGAAAACTAAAGGAAACAATTCGAAGATAAAACTGTTGCTATGTCTACTTGATTGTAATAACTATGCGCTATACTAGGTAAGTCTCTCTTCATGGTCCGCACTAGAAATATCATATTTGTAAAACTTTAAACCGGAATTTGCCTATAGATGGCCCAGCTGTCAATGTAGTTATCGTCAAACCGTGTCATTGACGCCATTTCTTAATAGATGACAAAGATTTTCAATTCACAACAATACAAATTTAACCCTTTCGCTCTGGAATGCTTGTGACAAAATGTGATCGCTGTGAGCGGATTGCATTACTAAATAGTTGACACTGAGGTACGAAATGCTACGAAGTAATTAGAAACCGTTTTTTGTTTTCTAAATTTTACAATGATATTTATTATATTTAGTAATATCATTTTATTTTCTAAAATATAAAAATTTATAATTATTGTTTATTTTTAACCTTTTAATCACTATTATTATATAAATTGCTGGTATATATCCGTTGCTGACGATGTTCTTAAGAAGACTGAAACAGTGTATCGTTAAAATAAAAAACACAATATCGTCTTATTAATATCGTTTTATTTCATGATAGTCAATTACTTAAGGCATGCAGCGTTGCAAGATACTCGATTAATAAAAGTATCTCATGTAAAGTATGAAATAAATGTATAAATGGTATGAACGTATATGTACGCTCTGCGTACCAGAGCATCAACTTTTCTAAAACGTATAAATACGCTCTTCGTATATGAATGATCATTCTTCGAGGGCGTATTTATACAGCCGTCAAAGCGAAAGGGTTTATACAACAGTATAGTTTGTAATAGCATTGAATATGTCGAATTTTGTGCCTGGAAACTACGATTTGCGGACAACATTGACCTTCTTTTACCATTTTAAGAAAACTGCTGCAGAATCGCATTGAATGCTTGTCGAAACTTACGGTGGCATGCTCTTAGTAAATCACAATGTTTTGAGTGGTTTAAAAAATTCAAAAGTGGTGATTTTGTTTACGGTAGACTAGGAAGACTTGACAATGTCGAAAACACAAGCATACGAGTGATATAAAAAGTTAAAAGAGGGCCGTTCTGTGGTTGATGATTTATCTCGTTCCAATCAGTTGTCCATCTATCTCTGTAATTGACGAAAACATTGAATGAAAAAGTTAAGAAAATTGCGCTCGAAAATTGTCGTGTGAGCATTCGGGAGATAGTAGCCGATTTTTAGTATTTCATTCGGATCGGTGCAGAGCATTATGCACGATTTTCTGGGTATGAGATGAGTTGAAGGGCAGCTTGTGTTAAAAGTGTTGAATGATAACGTTAAAGTTGAATAAATCACTGAGATCATGAGACCTTTTCCAAAAAAACTTCTAAAATGAAAACAAAAGTACAATAAGCAAAATCTTCACCTCTAATCTTTGAAGTGATTACTGCTGCAATTAAAAATTTTAAAAATGATAAGGGTTCTTCGTTGCAGGGTATTAAAAAGTATATTGTCGCAACATATAAAGTCTATGGCGTAAAATTTATATCGTTTATTAAATCATTATTAGTTATTTGAAAATTACAATCATCTAGTTTTGTCGTACAAAGTAAAGGTAAAGATGCCGGTCCTTTAAGCCGAAAATTCAACGTTCTTTTATAAAGAAGAAACCTTCAGAAAAATCTACAAAAAAAAAATTGCTGTAACAAATAAAACGATCAGTAATAACAAAAAATCTAAATCGCCAAAGGAAGGCCAATAATGCTGCAAAAAGATCTGTCGATCAAAAGAGTGCTAAAACAACATCTCCTAAATCTAAAACAAGTGTGAAAACAATTATTGCTGTTGCTATTGTCACTGCTATTACTGTAACTACAACTAAAAATAATGTAACGAAAAAACCGACTAAAGCATATGTTAAATCACTTTAAAACTTAAATAAAACGTTAAAACTTATGATAAAACTCCAAAACCGATAAAAGTTACAACTGCTGAAGTTACTTCTAAAAAGTAACTATTTCAGATATTAATACACTAATGGCCCTTTTCAGGGCCACAAATATTCTTTTAAGTAGAAACAATATCAATTTACTATACATTTTTTTAAAGTTTTCATCATTGCTGTGATTGATACAATTTTCTAATGGATTAATCCTTAACATAATATAATGTCTTGCATTTCAATATAATCTATCATTGATTGAAGTAAGTTTTTATTCTTTTGTTTTATTTTATTTTTAAAAGATACAGTTTAAAATAAATTTATATCTTTATATTTTAAAAAATTTTTACAAGAAGATGGATAAAGTATTTTCACAGAAATATAAGCTTTGTTTGTTTTATCTTCGATATCTTGCTTCCATGTAAGTGAATGATTAAATATGACTTTCAGGTTTTAAAATTATATAGATGCAAGATATTTAAAAATGCTTTTTTTGTTCCAACCAAAAATGATTGTCTAAGTTTCGGATAAATTAAATTTTAATCTCCAATCCATAGAAATATTAGTGAAATGAGTTAGGACAAGTTTGTAAATAAAATTTAAAATATTTTGATGGCCAAGATGAAGTATTGATTACAGTGTCATCATTAAATATAGCCAAGTACATTTAGAATTTTTGGGTATGTCATTTATGTAGAGCAGTACAGAGTATGTATGTACAGAGTAGTATAAGACAGGGCAAAGAATTGAGCCTTGAGGAACTTTAATAGAAATGGATATCAAGGTTGATTTAGCTTAATTAATTGTTATGCTGAATGTTCTATCTGTAATAGAACAATACAGTATTTTGATCAAGTGTCCAAGAAATTTTATTTTAGATTACTTGAAGATAAGTCCTTTGTCTCAGACAAAGTCAAAGGCTTTATTGAAATCGAAAAAAGCCATTGCTGTTAATCTATTTTTATTGTGTTCATTAACGATGCGTTCAGTGATTTAAATCAGATGGTTGAGTGATTATTACAAATTTCAAATTGTTCATGAATCAATAAGTTGTGGTCATAGATATGCTTACAAAGTTTTTTAATATGATTTTTTCCAAAATTTGGCCCCTAATATAAAGAAAGTTATCTATAATTTAGGTTGAAAGTTGTCTATAAATTAGGTTTTAGTTTGTTTCTGGTCTTGTCGGTTTAGGAATGGAGATAACTGATGTTATTTTTCAGATTTATCCAGGTTTATGGAGGACTGAGGGATGTGGAATAGTTGCATAATTTTTTGTGAATATACTACAATTGTATAACTGTAATTTTGTTAGGACCAGATACTTTGTTATTTTTTAAGGAGTTGGTAACTAAATGTATATTGTGTGGGGATATGTTAGAAAAAGATGATTGAAAATTGGAGTATCTAATGTAAAATTTTTTACAGTGTAAAAAGCTTTTGTTTCCCATAAAAATGGAATAATAAGAGAATCAAAATGTACTTTTTTAAAAGTTCAAGATAGTGTATTTGCCCTTTTTTGATTACTACATCGTTTCATTGAAAAACTGGAGAATGAGGGAATAGGAATCTTCCATTTGGTACTTATTTTGTAGAAGTTCCAAAGAGATTGATCATTCATGTTTAATTTTTCAAATCTTTTATTCCACATAATTTTTATCGCAGCAATTATCAGTTTACGAATTTTATGTGTGAGTAGGTTCTTTTTCTTGATTTATTTCACGTTATTAAGAATAGTAAGGTATGATTCGAAGGTACAAAAAGTGAAAATTTTGTAAGCAGAAGTTATTTGAGTTAGTAATCGAAATATTTCAAAGTTAATTTTTAATAGATCTCGTAATTTGATATTTTCCATGTGTTAATATTTGTAAGATGGTAAAGGGGAGGATAAACTTGTGTTTTTGTTTAGTTTGTAGAAACGGCTTGAACATAAATTTTTAAAAACGATGAAACTATTTCTTCCTGGTTGAGGATATGGGAAAATAATTGGGAAATCGGATTGGAGGAACAGGAGTAGGTGGGGTTATGAATTGTTTGCATGAGGTTATGGTTGGGATTCTAACTATACTTTTGATTGTTATGGGGGGGGGGGTAAAATATTTAATCAAAACAGGATATTTCGAGTAATTAGCTGGATGATTACCCTTGCATTTAACACAGCTAGCCAGTATATCGAGCGTTTTTTTACGCATACATGAATTATAATGTTCAACATATTTAACATACTTGTAAGTTTTGTTGCAATTGGAGGAAGTTTGCTCGTAAATTTACCAACGGAAACATTAAATATTAGATGGTTCGGAAAGTCGTTGCGTTCTTTTATTGTAAAAATGAAGACAATTTTTGCTTCGAGGTTAACCTAAACCTTTCAAGTGGTCATAAATAGTTGAATTTGATAAATTTAACCTCTCATCGATCTCATGTGTTACTATTTGTCGGTTTGCATCAACTAATGCCATTATTGCATCAGCAAAAAGCGAAACGACTTTCCGAACAACCTAATATATAGTTTGGTTTAATTAAACTTTTCTCAATAAATTCTTGTATAGAAAAGTGCTAGAATTTTTTTAAATTGAATTACAGTAACTCAGCTTGAAAAGTGATTTTATATATAGAATATAAAGAGAACGAGGATTTTATAAGATTCTTGACATAAGAGAGGATTCAAATTATGTTTTTTACATTCTTTAATAATTTCGGATTTGTCGATTTTAGGTAGCTCGTTAGTACAACGTCTAATATTTTCTCCTCTTCAATAGCATAAGTTGGAAATATATCAGTGTTTATCTTTAAAAATGGTATAACTTTCTAAATCTTGAAATTATATTTTGTCTTGTCTCCAAGGTATTTGATGAAATGCTAGTTGTCGAAAATCAACAATAGGAATACACTTTCGTTAATGTGAATTCTGTTTATTGAATATACCAATAACTTATAAAAGTAATCATTTTCTCCAAATAAAATAATGGATGAATGTTATTTTTAAGCAATAATTATTTATTAGGTATAGTAAAATCTACTATCTGAAAATATAATATAAAAACTAAATTCAATAAATGTAACAAATAAAAAAGGCATTAATCTTATGTTTAACACGTTCGTCGGCCCGTTATTTACATGTGGGTAAAATTTAATTCAATTTAAAAAAAAAATAAATTAAAAATTTTTTTTCAATAAAATAAAAAAAAATAGAAAACTCACTCAGCCCACTCTAGGACTGGTGGGGATAATCGCAGATTCAGTTAGTTTTTTTTTAGAAAGTAAAAAAAATGAAAAATGGCGAACTTCGAGAAAATAACGGTTTTTCTCAAAAAATGCGAAAATTACATGGATTTTATAAATTTAAAATTTATTTTTTTCTGAAAAGTAGATTTAAAAATAAAAATTAAAAAAAAAATACCTCCTAATAGGTTGAACTTTGAAAAAGTTATAACTGTTTAAAAAAAAGCCATTTTTTTCAAAAATTAATAATTTTTTTGGGTTTGGTAAAAAAATTTGAAGAAATTTTGAAAATTGTTTTTCACAGGGTAGAATAGGATAAAAAACTTTCAGTCAAATCGAAAAGGGTCGGGTCAAAAGTGGCCGATTTGACGTGGAATGCCCCATATATATTTTCACCTTAAATAAAGATAGTTATAATTATGCTACGTTTAAATCAAACAAATTTACAATAATACTTCCAAATTAACCTTTCTTTATTTACTCCTATTTATAATTTAAAATATTTAAATTTATTGTATTATAAATTTAACTCTTTCGTTACGGCAGTCCGTTCCGCCGGAGTGACACCACTTAACGGGGCACCGCGCCGAAAATGTGCACATTGCGTATGGATAGTGTATTTCGGAAGAAAAAGAATTTTTCTTTAAAATAATATACTTGTAATATCTACATAAAATATAAACTTATTAGGGATAAAAAATGTTTCATTAACAATTGAAAAAAGTGAAGAAATAATATACAGTATACAGTAGTAAAATAAAACATAATATATAATATAAAGTAGTTAATAATTTAATTCCGTATGGTATAATCTGAAACACGGATGGCACGTACATTCTCACTCTTATCGTTTTTTTGTACATACGACACACCTTCGCGATCCTTATTTTCCTGTTAATTTCATAAGGAGAAGGAAAATAACTTTCGTTGAGTCGTGCTGAGTAATTGTTTCCGGGTCTTATACAATGATTGCTAGATTGTTTATATTTTCTCAAAATTTGGTCCATCAATTTTAATTGAAATTTTGCAATTGATAGTGTTTTACCAGTTTTTAATTTATATAAACAATACGAGTTCAACAAACACATGTCAATCATATGAAAAAAATATTTCTTGTACCATTTTGTCGTTTTTCTTGCAGAATGTATGATGCTGATGACCATGTTGGTCTTGTCCACAGCACCCATCAATTTATTGTATTCAAGTACACAAGATAGTTTCTGTATGATATTTTATTTACAAAATATAAGATTTATGGTCTATAAAGGATTTGATACCGAACAGTTAGTACTTTCGATATTCTATCCCTTTACAGCATGTTAAACAATAAAAATAGGAAAATGCAGGTAGAACAAAGATAATTTGAGTGGTGTGTCGTTTGTTTCGTCAGAAGATTCACGCATTAGGTGATGTTGTCCGAAAATTAAGTCTCGATTTTATCGGCATGTCGTATGCATCCGACGTTCGTCTCCAGAGGGTGACATATGAATGTCGGAAATATCCGACGTTCGGCTCAGGGGAGTATTTATGTAGATGACGAAAATGTCCGTTTTTCGGAACGAAAGGGTTAACATAAAATATGATCAGAGATATTATTCCTTTACATTAAGATAAATATAGTGGCCCTAAGAAGGGCCGTTATCATTGTCAAAAGATGACAAGTATCTGCGCCACTGCACCATTTAACCTCCAAATCCATAAAGAGTACGTCCCTGGCGTTTAAGCGCATAGACGACGTCCATAGCAGTTACGGTTTTCCTCTTGGCATGCTCTGTGTACGTGACTGCATCACGAATAACGTTTTCCAGAAAGACTTTTAACACGCCACGAGTTTCTTCGTAAATCAATCCAGAAATACGTTTGACACCACCTCGGCGAGCAAGACGACGAATTGCAGGTTTCGTAATACCTTGGATGTTATCACGAAGAACCTTCCTGTGACGCTTGGCTCCTCCTTTTCCCAATCCTTTTCCTCCCTTTCCACGACCAGTCATATTTAAGATTTGTAAGTTGTGGTAATATTACAAAAAAGTACTTCCTCAAAGCTCAACTCGCAAGAGACTGCCTTCGCAACTGTTGAGTCGTGGTATTTATACTTGGAAGGTAGACTTGTTCCCCCACCAAACGTAACCCACCAATCGGAGAACTTAGCGACTCGGTAAGAATTAGTACGGCGGATGATGTGGGAAAGACAGAGAGGAAGTCGATATTTTTTGAACTGCTTGCCGTTCTTCAATTTCTCAGGAGAAATGGAAATCCGTGGTGCTAATGTGGAATTACTCGAAAATTTCTTCGAAGACTTCTACTTTTTTCTGATTATCATAGATTACGTTGGTGTCATATTTGAATATGGGAATAGGTGGTTTAATTTTTGTACAAATATAAGAACAATTCCTGTTTAAAATGTAGAAGGAACACCTTTCGTGTATCGTTTTCATTTTCTGCAGTCGGCAGTCAGTTTCTACCGACAATTTTTCATTCATTTCAAGTTATCTCTTTTTTTGTTTGTTTGAAAAAACTACATTTTTATTTTAGTCTCTCTTTAACACACGTTAAAGTAAAAAACATCTTACAAAAAACTTAAACAGATATTGAAATTATGTAAACGTATAACATTCGGTTCTCTTACACAAAAATTTTTCTTCCAATGCTCTTAAAAAGCAGCACAGTAATTTCCATTCAGGTACATTTATACTTCTACAATTCATCTACTCGTTATTTTTACATTTCTCTTAGAATGTGGGTGTACAGTTCCTTAGGAGATCTACTCTTTTTAACTTTTTATTATTAATATGTTATAAGATTAATATTAAATCTAATTATTATTATTATTAATTCTGTAGAGTAATTATTATATTTATACAAATATTTTTTAAAAGATGAGCAAATAAAAAGAAGTCTTATGAAAATCTGTTATCATGAAAAATGGATACATATTACACTGTTGCGTATATCATGTTTGTATCTTTGCGTATCTCTATTTTATATTTATGCTCAGAAGCGTCAAATTCAATCAATATGTGTACTAAAGTCAATTCATGTTTTACTCCAATATTGAGTTATAATTGGTCATATTTATCGATAAGCTAAAGCATAACAAGTAATATGAAATAATACACTTTAACCTCTTCACGCTCTTGTCCACATATATGGATGTTTAGTTTTTTATAATTATAGTTACTGTCAATAATAAATAGAACAAAAATTTGATACCTATGTATTCACAACAAAACCCTTCAACCAGAAAAATAATTATTTTTTGGTTTTGATGCACTGGTAAATGGTATTTCCGATGTAAAGTTAGAAACATGAAAAAGCGTGAAGTAATTATTCGGCAGTTATTCTTGTTGGATTATTTGAACAAATTGTTAATATTTGATAAAAATAAAATTATATACATTAAATATATTAAATTATAATAATTTTTAGAAAGGTCTCAAAAAAATATCCTGTGAATTTTTTATTTTATAACAAATTTCCAAATGTACACATATGTGTATAACGTGGCTAAACAGCCACAATACTAAGTAAGAAGAGAAAAAGAGACAAACATATAGGATTGAGCCTGTTGGTTGTAGACCAAGAACTAGTATCCGATTTTGGAAAATTGTTTACAGAGTGAATTTTTTACCTGAAAAAGGTTGGAACGGTGTCGGCAAAAGTGTAGCTCGATCGTCAGACAGCGGTCATTAAGATTAAAGGGGGGGGCCGGGTCCCCAAAATTTTTAATTTTGGTAATAAAATAAATGACTAGAGATATGGGTGAAAATTTACGTAGATATCCAGAAACATGAGAAAAAGCACGGGGAAAAATGTCAGACGTGAGAGTACACGATAAAGGGGTGTCAAAACCTGGAAAAGTTGCGAAAAATTTTTGAAAATTTACATATGGAAGGAAATATTTGACAACTTGGGTATGTCTTGTCTATATATAGAGAAAATTATGTGCAAAATGTCAAATGAAAACGTGGAGGCATTTGTGAGAATTTGGGGTGCAAATTATGAGAGCGCGAAACGCGGTGCGGCGCACCGGCTAAGAGGCTGCTCCAGTTTTCACCCCGTCATGACTCAGCCACTTCTGACGATTTACGTGAATGTTTATAGAGGTACAAAGAACGTATTGTTAGAATGTCAGAAGTCAATTGAGAAGAATTCAAACATTTACTTAACTTTTAATTTGAACTTCTTTCCTGACATTTTTCAGCGTGCTTTCTCTCATGTTTCTGGATATCTACGTAAATTTTCACCCATATCTCTAGTCATTTATTTTATTACCAAAATTAAAAATTTTGGGGACCCGGCCCCCCCCTTTAATCTTAATGACCGCTGTCTGACGATCGGGCTACACTTTTGCCGACACCGTTCCAACCTTTTTCAGGTAAAAAATTCACTCTGCAAACAATTTTCCAAAATCGGTTGCTAGCTTTTGGTCTATTGTATATGTGTGTTTGTGTGCAACTGCATACTGCGAAGCGTAGACACATATGATTTCACAGAGAACCCAGAGCTTGTATTTTTAAGACGTTTATGAAACTTTATAAATTTATATGTGTTCGTTAGGATTACAAACCGTACATACAGTGTATAATAATTAGCTTCCAAGGTACAGTCGTTTCTGAGAAAATTAGGGTTAAAAATTTACTAGTATTTCTATATACTATTTCTTTAAATCTTACATCAACTACAGTTGTAGCTTAGGGTATAGATTAGTTTGTTAGCGTGTTCACTAGACTAAGTTAATAAGTATAGACAGTAAGATTTATGGTATATTTTTGTGATGTATTTTCAAGCACCAAATATGTAAAAGAAAAATGTATTTTTATAAGAAGAGAAAAATAAACATCAATTAAAAAAAAAAAAGCTTAAGGCGTATCGACCTAGACTCGTAACCTATAGATCGCTGGATCGAGTCTCATCGGCATTTGACTTCTAATTTTTAATTTTTAATTGAATCGGTGGAGTTAACCGCGGGCCCAACTTCGAGACTTGTTATGTACACAGTTCGATAAGCTGAGAGAGCGATAATATTCATTGCGTTCTTTAGATTTTTCATTGTTAAATCTTTATTTAGACGAGAGTATTTAGAGAATATAAGTTTCTGGTACAAAGAATAAAGACAAGATATGTTATAAATAATAAGGATCTCAAAGTCTATGAAGTAGAAAAAGCATTTCTCGAAAAGATCTCTATTAGATCTCTCATTGCATTTGTATCAGAAACTTCGTTCAGTCCAGCAGTATTTTCCATACGTTTTTCGTAACGTCTTTATTTCGTCATTCCTAAAATGTTTGCTAGACAGCGCAGAAATGTAGATGAAAGTGAGAAATCGAAAACCATCGTGTTGAATTCTACGCAGTATTCTTTATTTTGCGTTTATATTACCATATCTACAAAATGCAATCGATACTTTTATGTATATAAATAATATCCGATATCCAGTGTGGGACACAGAGTGTTTTGTTCTATCGATGGGCGGTCCTTCTTAATTTTTGCTTTCTTTATCCCTACCAAGGAGCAGCTGCATCTTAAGTGCTTGGCGACGAAATATTTTTCTTTTGGTTTATTCGTTATTCGTTTACTCTTTTTCTATTCCTGATTGAGTAAAGACGTGCTTCCACCTTATCATATAAAATCACCATGATAAGATAAATAAAATTATAAGAAGATCTAAGCTAAACTGAAATTTTTAATTTAATTTTTATTAAAAATATAAATATATGCATAACAGAAAAGAAAAACAAAGCAAAAAATATTAATTTTATTAGGGGGACTGAAAAGTAATCAAAATTTCTTCGATGAGCTCATTCACAATTAGTTTGTGTCGGGACACGATCCCACAAACATGGAAGTTTTGTTATTACTTTCAAGTTTGGTTGCAAATTTTATTTTTTGGTCAAAAAATTTTTGTTCTACCAAAGAGGAAAAATGTCAAGGCCAACAATAGAAAAAGCACATTTTCAACATTGTATGCTATTTTTGTTCGATCAAGGAAGCAGAGAACAAAATTACCGATACTTACGGGGATGTTCTGAAACTAAACAAGTGCCATAGATGGTTTAAAAGTTTAAAAATGGAAATAGGAAACTCAAAGTTGCCGCACGAAAAGGACGATCCCAAAAATTAGATGGTGATATTCTGAAGACTATGGTTGATTTAGATTCTCGTCAAACAATTGAGGAATTATCATTGAAGATTAACTGTCTATGGTCTACAGTTCAGGATCATCTTCGTCGCATAAGAAAATTGTATAGGCAAGGAATTGTGATTCCTCATGGATTGACGGAGATTGCATTCGATCAACGGCGTACCATCTTGCGCGTCTCTTTGTCTCGATATGAAGCCGATCCATTTTTGCGACAAAATTGTAATTGGAAATGAGAAGTGGGTGCTATACAATAATCCTGTACGAAAAAGACAATGGCTTTCTTCCTGAGAAGCACTTGTTCCCACACCTCGACCATCACTAACGATAAAGAAGGTCCTTTTGTGTATGATGGGATTTTTCTGGAATCATACACTATGAATTGCTTGAACCTGGTCAGAATATTACAGCGACACAGAGTATTATGAACAACTTATTACTCACATCAGTCTAAATCAAGTAGGCTGGATTCCAGAGAATATACTAAATCAGTGGTTCCCAAACTTTTTTGTCCTATCGCCCCCTTTCTAGAAAAAATATTACTTATCGCTCCTCTGAAAGTAAATTTTTTTGGTTTTCCTTTTTTTTGTTTAGTAACTCAAATTAAATTTTCAAATTATGAATCTATGAAACTATTTATTGTTTGTTTTTTACTACACACTTACAATTATTCATTGTCATTTGCCATTCCCTCACCCCAAAGGTTCATCTATGGCCGTCATCGCCCACCTGGACCGCTTTACCGCCTACAAGGGGGCGATATCGCTCACTTTGGGAACCACTGTGCTAAACCTTACAACGGCCTTTTTGAAAAGAACATTGAAACCTGAACCTGAATACAAACTCAGCTTCTGAACATAAACTAGATATGGACAGTTCACCACTCACTATCTTTCCTATAAGTAACCTATTTGAAAACCTTATATAAAGAAAGGTTTTTACAACAAACTTATGTTCAAATATAAATAAAACTATTACACTCATCTCCTTACTTTCAACCTTAGCAATAGTTCTTCCAATTCCTGATTCGCAAACTGCCAAAAATCTTCCAGCTTCGACTTTAAAAAAAAAATCTTCCAAAAAATCCCTATCTTCAATTTATATGCACATATAAACTGCAAAATTTTCATTTAATTTATTATTGAAATAAAATAATCTTATAATAATAATATATTATAATAATTATATAATATTAGGTTGGGAAAAAAGTAATCCATTATTTTTACATGAATTTCAGGCCTTTATTTAACATGTTTCAGATTGTCAAATTTTGGTTAAATATGCACTGTTTTGTTCGGCAATTTGTTGCCATTTTAAAGGTAGCTTCATAATGCCTCTTTCATATAAGTCTTGGTCCCTATTGGCGAAAAACTCTAGAAATCGTTTTTTACAGTCTTCTTTTAATGTCAATTTCTTACCACTAAGGAAATTTTGCAATGCAAAAAAAGATGGTAATTACTTGGTACAAGGTCCGGACTATATGGTGGATGCATCAAAATTTCTTAACTATAGGCGATAAGACGTAATAGGTTACAATTTCCTTTTCTTTGTAAGCGATTTTCTGTCCTTTGTGTTATTCTCTTTCTTATAACAATTGTAAAACCGTTGATGGTTGCTAAGGAGAGGACTGTTGACGATAATAATTAAAAACGGTGGGAGTCCGATTTTGGCCCCCACTTCCACCCACCTCCAGTGGATACTGGAGGTCAATAAGATTAATATGTTCCCTGCCCCTCTCCAAAAGGGCGTAGATTACTTTTAGTATAAATATGCGTAGATAAGTCAAATTAAGCGGTTCTCTGTCTGATGAATTGTTAAACTCTGTCTGTAAGTAAATCTGCGTCTATTTGATAATCTCTATCTGTAATTCTTTGTATATTTGTATTTCTATCAGTTATTAGTTATGTTATGTTTCTGTATTTATTATTTACTTTAATATATATCACTGTTACAATTACATAGATACATATATTCTCTTCTTATTTCTTTCATTTTCTATAACCCCTACACAACCAAGCTCTCGGAGTTTCTGACAAGTCACTATAAACGTGTGTGGCCTGGCTTGTCGTGATGGAACACAACACCTTTCTTGTTGATCAATTCTGGTCGTTTCTGGTCAATTGCTAGCTTTAAACGGTCCAGTTATTGACAGTAGAGATTCGAATTTAGTATTTGGCCATATATTTAAGCAACTCAATAAATAATTCCTTTCCAGTCCTATCAAATGCACAGCAGAACCTTCTTATCCGTTAGTTTTGTTCTGGTATTTGTAAATTGTAAATTGTAAATTGTAAACACTATTCACAATTTCAGTCGTTTTGCTTACATTTTCGCCTATATCAAAGAAAAATTGCAAAATGTCAAATCAAAAGAAAAATGCAAAATCCGAATTTTTTCTCTGTTGACTTCCACTTTTAATACCTTGTAACTCACAATTGAAGAGACCAACAAAAAACAAATAGAATTTTTTTTAGCTCTCTTTCCAATGAGCAAAAATCTGAAATTGTTTAATTGATATTTTTCGAGATATCGATCATTACAACCACCTACTGAAAAAATAATGGATTACTTTTTCCCCAATTTAATAATATATTATACATATAATAATAATATATTAATAATGATTATATATAATTACAATGGAAATAATTACGATCGAATTTTACATATAATGTTTCGTCATTAAGTTACAACATTACACATATCTAACAAACACAATAAGACAGACATATAAGTGGTTTCATTGCAACTCAGATTTTAACTAATTCAACTTTAATTAACCCTTTGCACTCCGAGCAATTTTCAACATGATGTTTCAGCAATTCCGAGTCATTTTGACCATGACCACTTTCAACTTTCGTTTTTTCGCGTTTTACGCTACAGACAAAAATATAATCGAAATGGAGCAATCTCGGTCACAAGACCGATTACACACACTAAGCGTGTGCCGAAACATTTTCCTACCCGTATAAAGATACAATGTTGCCTCTAGATGCCGGCCAGTGATCCCAGAGAGTTCGTCTGATCGACACAGGGGCGTAAAATTATCGTACGCACAGGAAAAATTTTGAATTTGTTGAATTTTTCGGATTAGATTTTCAAAATGTAAAAAAATTGTCCAAGTTCCAACTTTTTTAAAGTTGATGACCTTTTTTTTAGTCTTCAAGTTCAAAAAGGGTATCGTAAATACGGCGTACGGCAGGGAGAAAGACCAGAACGTACAGAGATCGTACAGTGGTGGTTGTTTCTTCTTCAAGCTTCTCGAGATATCGAATCAAAATCGCAATCGAAAATTATCGTACAGGCTGAATTTTGGATCGTACAAGACTTCAAATTATGTGACGCGTACGATAATCATCGTACGCATGGGATCACTGATGCCGGCGTACCGTGTCGCCGTAGCGGCGATAACGGAGCTATTAGTTTAGAATGTTAATGTCGTCTTAGCGGCGACAACGGAATGCAAAGGGTTAATAATCTTTACTACTTACGTTCCTCTTCGAAAATCGAAAATTAGCCTATTATATTTTACATTTACATTTTTTTCTTCCTCCACAGTTTTTTTATAGCAAGATTAAAATACTGATTTTTTAGCGGTGTATAAATGCAAAACATTAATATACGAGAATAGGAAAAACTATATAGCTATATTGCCTCATTCTCTCGCAGGCTCAATCCTATATGTTTGTCTCTTTTTCTCTCCTTAGTATCGGGGCTGTTTAGTCGCCGCGCTACATTTTTTTCCGTCTCATTCTCTCGCAGGCTCAAGCCTATGTTTGTCTCTTTTTTTCTTCTTACTTCCATTTCACCACCGTTCACCACAGAGTTTCAATTTTTTAAATCACCCCGATTCTAAGTTTTCACTTCAAAAAAACTATTACTTAAATTCATTCGTTGTCAAAGCCATCCGTACAAAATAAACTACAAAATTAAACCAACTAACTAGAACTAACAGCAACACTGGCTTTTACCTTGACTAATGTATTCTGTAATAACTTTAAAACTGTCCTTTTTTGGAATCGTATACAATAATTTTAGCTCTTACAGCGGTGCCTCTCAGGCACCACTCAAATCGATGCGGTAGATTGAGCAATAACGGTATTTATTTCGGTTTTGTAGGTCATCTTCTGAGGTACAAATGTATTGTATCGCTCGACACAATGTACACAATGAAAAAGCTTATGTTTTTGGGAAGGGTTGTAATGAGGTTAAGCCTAATGAATTTTGTTTTTGAGAAATATTGTTTTTCTGTTATCTCATATTTACACAAGTATTGTCTAACACTCGAAAGACGTAAACGAAACCTACTGCCTATCGTATTCTATGATATTTTATTTCATAGGCTTATCGCAGGATTTGTTCAACAGAAATATGAATATTATGTTTAAAATTACATTCATTGTAAGAAATTCATGAAATTAGCGGAGGAGCAGTTGACAGCTTTTTACTTACTACTTTCGAACGTTTGATTACTCTCGAGCAGCTGACTGTTCTCGAGTTGCTGGTTCGCCTGAACGAAAAGGGCCTCAAGCTCAAGGGGTTAAAAATTTGTTAATATCCTACATCTATTATACTAACTTTTTATGAAAAAAGAAAGTAATTTCTTCGAAAATTTTACCTTACCTCCCTCCTTTAACATAAAATATGATCAGAGATATTATTCCTTTACATTAAGATAAATATAGTGGCCCTAAGAAGGGCCGTTATCATTGTCAAAAGATGACAAGTATCTGCGCCACTGCACCATTTAACCTCCAAATCCATAAAGAGTACGTCCCTGGCGTTTAAGCGCATAGACGACGTCCATAGCAGTTACGGTTTTCCTCTTGGCATGCTCTGTGTACGTGACTGCATCACGAATAACGTTTTCCAGAAAGACTTTTAACACGCCACGAGTTTCTTCGTAAATCAATCCAGAAATACGTTTGACACCACCTCGGCGAGCAAGACGACGAATTGCAGGTTTCGTAATACCTTGGATGTTATCACGAAGAACCTTCCTGTGACGCTTGGCTCCTCCTTTTCCCAATCCTTTTCCTCCCTTTCCACGACCAGTCATATTTAAGATTTGTAAGTTGTGGTAATATTACAAAAAAGTACTTCCTCAAAGCTCAACTCGCAAGAGACTGCCTTCGCAACTGTTGAGTCGTGGTATTTATACTTGGAAGGTAGACTTGTTCCCCCACCAAACGTAACCCACCAATCGGAGAACTTAGCGACTCGGTAAGAATTAGTACGGCGGATGATGTGGGAAAGACAGAGTGAAAGTATTGACGTTATTTTTTTATAAAATCTGTTAAATCATGAAATAATTAGCTAAACCCTGAAATAGTTATATTGATCTGTTTAAATATAATAGAAATACAAAACTACCTTTTTTAATTAAATAATATATAAATTTATAAGCGAGTAATTTAGATATAAAATGGAAATTTGATCCGCAGATTAAATCCGATAAAACAACACAATTAACAGAATATTGATTTTCAGAGTACAAGAAGAGATAAAAACGGAATAACTATAATTATTTTAATATATATTTATATATTAATTTCCATAAATAATTTCGGTATTTTCTATAGCTTTTATTTTGTACAACTTTTGTGCATAATAACATTTATTTATATGCTTATCCAAAACAACGTCCAGTTATTTCAGGTAAAATCTACAGTTTCTATTTTTTAATTAAATTAAACAATTTAAAGCTAATATATGTATTTCGGGACTATATTCTATGCCACCTAGTATTGGTCATATTACTTACGACACTTTTCCCGCGTAGTTGTACGGTCATCAGTAAGTTTCCCCCACCATCGAGTCATCGTCCAATCAGGGAGCAGCATGAGGATCTCGCAGTATATATAAGGAGGTGATTCCAGCTACCGGCATTATACTCTTCGTTGTGCGTCGTTAAAGTTGATATCGTTCTATCCTAACTATGGCACGTACTAAGCAAACRGCTCGTAAGTCGACTGGTGGAAAGGCTCCTCGTAAGCAATTGGCTACTAAGGCAGCACGTAAGAGTGCTCCTGCTACTGGTGGAGTTAAGAAGCCTCATCGTTACAGGCCTGGAACTGTTGCTCTTCGTGAAATTCGTCGTTATCAAAAGAGTACTGAACTACTCATCAGGAAATTACCGTTTCAACGACTCGTTCGTGAAATTGCTCAAGATTTTAAAACCGATCTTCGTTTCCAAAGTTCAGCAGTGATGGCGCTTCAAGAAGCTAGTGAAGCTTACTTGGTTGGTTTATTCGAAGATACTAATCTTTGTGCTATTCATGCTAAACGTGTTACCATCATGCCCAAAGATATTCAATTGGCTCGACGAATCCGAGGAGAAAGAGCTTAAATAATACTGAAATTCAGTCCACCGGCCCTTTTCAGGGCCAACACATTATTAATAAGAGGTTCAATCTGATTCAAAAATATAATATAAAACCACTTTTCAATTTAGTTACATTGGTAGATGCAATTTCAACAAGGTAGAATTAATATATTTACCCATAGTAAATAATGTTTAGTTAGATAAAATTTCGCAATTCGTTGACTTTTAAATTATAAATTTGTTTACTGCTAGTAGTCAGATTAATTTATTAAGCTCTAAACTAGACGTATTATTTAAGTAATTCTGCGTTATTTTCATACTTAACTACTTCGGATGTAATTTTATTTACAAAACATTTAATTTAGTCATTAATTTTCATAATATATAACTAATTTTGTAATGTAGTAGAAAAAATAACATTTTACTCTGATAATTTTAATCTACGGGGAAAAATTTGTCAGGAATGTTTTACTTTATCTTGTAATCTACATCAATTTCTTTTCAAATATTTAATGTAAACAATGTCGATATTGACCCTAAAATTCTGTTCTTTATGAAACTGATTCAAAGAATTGATTTTCATAATTTTATTAGTAATCTAGAATCATCTGGATGTCTCGTAAGAATATGTTAGCATAAATATATCTTCATTCTGCGGATAACCTTTTGTGAACGGCTGTCTGCGGACAGCACTGCCGCATCTGTTAAACATTTTTATCTTCTAGACGCGTGTCTGTGGACAGCAGCCCAAGCAAGTAGGATCTACGTTATATTTAGAACGTGGACATCTGCCTTTAGTATACTACAGATATAACCGTATATACATTCCGGATGTAATAAAAGAACCAATATTTTCTGATAACAAAATTGCTGCGTATAAGTCTGATGAAATTTTGTTATTATCTTGAAAAAATAATAGAATTGTTACACTGCTGAGTACTTGGGATACAAGTGCAACAAGACAATTAAACAGAAGAATGCGCGGTGGTGGATTTCTCCAATTGGAAAAACCCATTGCAATAATAAATTATAATAACTACATGGGTGAGGTGGATAGGGCCGACCAATATACTTCCACTTACTGTTTTATGAGAAAATCAAATAAGTAGTGGAAACAATTTTTTTTTGGATCTCGAAATGTGTGTTGTAAATGCATATATAATGTACAAATGCATACAGAAGAAAAACAATCGAAAGTCAACTTCATATCTGAAGTTTTTGCGACGCCTCGTCGTCGATCAATTCGTTAGCGATTTTCGTGACGGATCTCAAAGGAATACGGAACCGTCTACCTCTAGTGAATTAGAAAGAATAAATGATTGCTTATTATACGTCATTCGTCATGACGACAATAAAAACTGCAGGGACTGCATTGTGTGCTCAGATAGGAAAATAAAAGGAGGAAGGAAACAAACACGTTTCTACTGTGATACATGTCCGAAAAAGCCATTTATGTGTATAGGCAACTGTTTTAAAAAATATCACATTCTAGAAGATTTAAAAAAATAAAATTGAAATTATCAATAAAAAGTCTAATAGATATGTTTTAAATTATTTAGCAATCATTTGTTTATATAGTATGAACTATATAATTGTTGTAAATAAATCTTCATGTGTATCTGGTGTCCCACGAAATGCTCCCAAGCCTCCCCGTCCAGGCAGACACTCGCGCGTTGGAGCGTCCCGTCCGTAAAGAGTTAATTATTTTAAAAATAAGACAAAGGCACAAGAATACGGAGAAAAAAAGGAAAAATTCTGTTTGATCATTGGGAACATGGACTTAAATCAGAAGGTAAATATTTTATGTATATTTTTTAAAGAATTTTCTTCGTTGAAATGAGTACTATTAAAAATTCCTTTGCCTATAGTTCATATCATTTTCACACCTAATTATAATCTTATTAAAAAATAATGCACTTATTTATTGACTGCAGATGCTCTAACAATAAGTTAAATATTATCTAAGATTATAAACAGTAATGGGTAAAAGATAGGTTAGGAATTGTTTAACATTGTATTATGATGAATGTATATAACTTACATTAATTTTATTGGTAGATGGCGCAGGGATAGTTCAATATGTAGGGATTCTATAGAAGGGATGCGCCATGTACATTGCTGGGGGACCGGAACTCGATTTTGCGCGCGAATGATTCAAACATTGAAATAATTATGAAATAATGAATTACATCAAATACAGAAAAAAAATGAACTATATTTAATAATAATTAAAAATTTATATTAAAATAGAATAGGTTACACGAAAAAATTATTATAAATTCAATAAGGAAGACTTAATTAAGTTTGATTTGATAAAAGGCATTACAGTATTTTGAAATTTTAAAACAATTTGTAGGAATTTATACAATTTTTATAAATATAATTATCTACTATATATATTATATTAATAATAATAATAATAATAAGACAAATATATAAAACAATTAAAAAATAGATTTATTTTAACATATTTTTATTTCTCAATGTGGTACATGGTCATAGTTTTACTCGAACTGAGATTTGTTTGCTTAAAATTTTATAAATTTTTGCGATTATACCTACGCGATGGTATAAGGTATTTACGGTCTTGCGTAGTTCTTGTTGAACTTTGACAGTAATTAAGAATACATTGTCGAACCATGATTATTCATCACAAACAATAAGTCTGTAAACAAACGATAAGTTATAGGTTAAGTTTGTACATTTATACTTGTAACTATTAAATGAGTAAATTAAACTTACACTTATAGAAAACTACTAAAAAAAAAAAAAAATAATTAAACATAAATATCACAATAAAAACTATAAGTATTCCAAACTTAAACTAACCACAGCCGTTAATACATACTAAAGATAAACATGGCTGCGCGTTGGATCGGAAGCGGTCCCCCAAAATTTTCAGCCAATGGCACATGAACTGAATATGTATGGCGCATCCTTCCTACAGGATCCCTATCAATATGTAGAGACCCTGCAGGAGGGACGCGCCATACATATTGCTAGAGTGCCATTGGCTGAAAATTTTGGGGACAGCTTCCGATGCAACGCGCAGCCATGTTTATCTTTAGTATGTATAAATAACGGCTGTGAACAATTTAAGTTTGGAATACTTATAGTTTTTATTATGATATTTATATTTAATTGTTTTGTTGATAACCAAGTGCATATATAAAGTGAAAATAGAAACTATAAAATTATCGAGAGCACTTAGTAGTTTTCTATAAGTGTAAGTTTAATTTATTCATTTAATAATTACAAGTATAAATGTACAAACCTAACCTATAACTTATCGTTTGTTTACAGACTTATTGTTTATGATGAATAATCATGGTTCGACAGTGTATTCTTAATTACTGCCAAAGTTCAACAAGAACTACGCAAGACCGTCAATTTTTTCGTTTTCCAAAAAAAGAAGAAAGTCGAAAATTGTGGTTGCAAAATAGTAATGTTGTAGCTGAAAATGTGAAAAAATATTCAGTTTTATGTGATATAAGATTTTGTCTGATTATACTAATTTTTAATTGATTTTAAACTAAACTAATAAATATTAAATGAAATAAATCATTTGTAGAAACGTTTTTCCGAAGACTGTTGGAAGATAGTAGAAGGAAAGAAGCGTTTAAAAAACACTGCAGTACCTACTATTTTTATCCAATCTAGTATTTTAACAGATAAAAAAGGTAAGATATTAAATTTATTCTGAATTTTATTTTGATATCTATATATAATATTGTACTTTGTACATTTTACTTCTTATAAATACCCACATAACACAAAAATTTTCTAAAAACTTTCTTAAAAAGTTTTAAACCTTTCAAAAAGTTTTTTAAAAAATCTTTCTACAAGGTGAAAATGTCCGCGTTTAGAGATTTGCAAAAGATTACTCTATCAGCAAAATATTTTAGAAATGTTTTTAAAATATTTTTGTAAAATCTTTTATGAATTTTTTTCAAAATATTTTAGAATGATGCCTGCAAGGTTTCTGAAAGATTTTTTGGAAATATTTTATGAAACTTCCACTGAAAGATTTCAAAACCTTTCGTGTTATGTGGGTATGTAGTAGCATTATATATTATTTCAGGTATTACATTATCTTTTAATCAAAGTATTTTGAAAAGAAAAGTATTGGGAGACGTAATGAATAATTCTTATTTGTCAAATGTACTTTCTTCTACTACTACAACTTTTATTACAGGTAAATAGTAGTCTTATTTTTAGTACGTTTCAATTACAATTACAATTTATTTAAAAATTATTTCAATTCTTCGTAGCTCAATAAGAAATTATGTACAAACAAGATGCAAAAAGCATATCAACAACAAAAATATCAGAAAATGTTTCCACTGCTAGTTCAGTACTTGAAAAGAATTCAGCTTGCTGTGTGGAATCCAATTCGTCACCTTTAACTTCAGCAAATGATATTACAAGTATTATAATAAATAACAATTAAAAACATTTTTAATTTTTAATAAAGGAAAAAAAAATAAACGTTCACCTTTTTAGGTACCTTATTGTTAAATGTAACACTCGAAGAGCATGCCACAATAACACAACCATGTAAGTCACTAATTTTAGCCACAATAGTAAAGTTATTTTAGAAATGTAATATGTAAATTTAACAGTATAAATTAGTATTTAGAAGTTTAATATTGTCTAATATAGTATTTTTTATGTTAATTTTGCAGGTTACACTAATGAAAAATTGTTACACTCTTCATCTGAAAGTATTGAAAATGCAAGTAATGGACTCATGTTTAAAGAAATTGACAGTATTTGTGATCAAATTAATTCGAGTGAAGGTCGAGATCACAAAGATTGCGTTAATACAATTAAAAAATTAAAAATTTTGTTAAGTAGAAGTCTGAAAACAATTAAGATTTTGAAAACAGAACATACAAAGTTCCGAAATCAATTTAAAAAGCAGATTAAAGATTTACAACAAAAAGTACGTATAAATAACATCTTATTTAATTATTAATTAAATTTAATTAATTAATTATCTTATTAATATTGGAAATTAAAAACAAATTGAACGAATGATTATAATAATTGTAAATATAATATATATAGTAGATAATTGTATAAATTCCTACAAGTTTTTTTGAAATTTCAAAATACTGTAATGCCTTTTATCAAATCAAACTTAATTGAATCTTTCTTTTTGAATTTATAATAATTTTTTTGTGTAACCTATTCTATTTTATTATAAATTTTTAATTATCATTAAATATGGTTCATTTTTTTCTGTATTTGATGTAATTCATTATTTCATAATTTTTTCAAACCAATTCACCATTCTACCCCCTACACTATTCACTATACTATATACAACTTTTATACTATTTAAAATGTTTGATTCATTCGCGCGTAATCACATGACTACATAAGTTCCGGTCCCCCAAAATTCTTCGGCGCGTCCCTCCTACAGGGTCCCTATCAATATGTAGCGATATGCGCCTTACGTACCGACGTTAGAGCACTATAGAGATGAGTACACTCATCCGCCATTTTTGCTCCTACAGAGAAGACACCAGTATGGTTTTGTATAGTAAACACGTTTGTTGACATCAAGCGAGATTGAATTATTTATTGATAATTGTATTAAATTTCATTAAAAAAATTATTTGATAGATGATGTTAGTACTTAACCTTTCTATTTTTAACAATAAAAGATAGATTAAACTACAAAATACTATTCAGT